CTGCAACCGCTAACCAGATTATATCAGACGATCCTCGGTATATTGATAGCCTATCAAATATATCTTCTGTCTTTTGATTTCACTTGGTGGGTACGATTCATGCCAGAAGGTGTTACTGGTTAAAGTATTGTCAAACTCCAAATGTCTGTGGCACCTTCACCATCAGGCGTCGTCAAGGTTAAAAATAGCCAATGGTCACTGGAAAATTGGACGCATGGAAGAAGCGCATGTGAGAATGGTTCCGAGTTCTCCTTATGTAATTTAATAATATTTTGGACGACAGGTGTGGGCGATGTGAGTCCATGATTAAGGGCTCTCCTGCATGTAGTATTACTACAGCTAATCCCGGTCCAGATGAAGGGGGGGTTGGAAATATGGTCAGCAACCACATCCCATAGAGAATAGCATCACTGGGAAACACTAACCTAAAATAAGGCTTGGGTCATTAAATCTGTACCCTGAGAGCTAAAGGACTTTCATTTAGAAACATTATGACACCTTATGGTGGAAGCAAATATTCTCCCAAAGTCACGAGCTCGATACCCCTTCTAATTACCAGAGAAACAGCTATTATAAGTAAACGGAACGCTCAGGTAATATGGGAGACCATAAGTACCAGCCAAATAGCTGCAAATATGAGGAAATACAGCTTTGACGTGCTCGGGAAAAATGAAATCCAATGAACCTACTCTGGAAGAAAAGAATGGCTTCGACGAAGGTGCTGTTGTACCCTAGTCATAAGGAAGATTTCACAACCACAGACGCAAGAAGCTACACTTATTCTATATGAAGAAGCGCAAAAAGCACGCATAAGATGTGAATCTTGTGGACCCAGAATCATCAAAGTATCCTTCGAAACACTGAAGAGGGAATTATAATGAATGTCATACAGTGCTACGAACCCACCAATAAACGTGAAAAAGATATAGATGTTTTTTATAAATGGCTGCAGAAGACCCTAGAACAGTACACAGGAAACGACCTGACCATTCTGCCAAAGTCTGGATAGACAACACTGGGTATGATGACATCATGGGACTACATGGGTTGGGAGAAAGAAAGGAGGATGATGAGGCATTTGCAGATTTATGGGTATAGGTTGCATCGTATTCTCCCGTAAAGTTTTACAGAAAGCTATATGAGTTTCATCGTATCACACTACAGAGAACCTGGTCGATCGTATATACATCAATAAAAAAAATTTAGATCCATGTAATACGTAGGAACCAGGATAGAAGCTGATATAGCTAAAGAAGTTTCGTACCTTAAAGTAACCCTCGTGCTATTGATAGAAGAAACCAGACAAGTAGTGAATAGGTCTTTATTTCGATCTTAGCGCGGTGACAGTGGAGCGTCGGATTACCTGTTCAGACAAACAAAGGCTCTCAACATTCAATATAAGATAATAGGGAATATAACGCTTATACAAAACAAGGAAGTGAATGAATACTTGAACAGTACTGTTTTGGCATATGCTTGGTTGTTTGGGGTCAACTCTTAACCAACCAACCTAGGCTGTTACATTAGCTCCCCCCTAGAATCGACTTCCGTAGGAACGTCGGTTCGACTAACCTAACTATCGAAAACACCTTAGTTCTATTTCTCATCCCAAGGGAAAATTATCAACTCGCTCACTATTTGACTTACAATCAGTGACGACTGACGCTGTCAACAATAGTCCATGGATGTCTCTTCTTTACTAGCTTGTCATCTTATTTTGTAGCATGTGATCTATTCTACAACTATCGCTGACGGTTTACTGCGTGCTTTCAAGAGAAAGTGTGAGAATGTGGAATAAGAATATCTGAGGAAGTGCCGCGAGCGGGCTACCCAACACCATGTTGGTGAGGTACGATTTTTCCATGCTCAGACCGGCTATCAGGTGTTTACTTGAGATAATGAGGTTTCAGGATCCTGTGCATCCAAACAGTGTTGGACGTAGCATGGGAGAGCTTGTATCCATCCTTGTTTTAGGACTGCTTCACCCACTGTGTTATCACCCACTAAGACTTGGAGGTGACGTAAAAACTGTGACGGCGACCGATCACCTAGTGTTTCACCTTGGAAACGTCTTTGGATTCTTTGACTATCTGATAATGATAAACGGTTCATTATCTCTCGTCTTAAGATGGTGTATGGTTGTGGTGATGGTGGATCTAAAATCAAGTCACGGACTTCTTTGGCGACTGAAGGAGGAAGGATAGAACGCAAGTCTCTATAGCGAATCCCTTCAGATTTGATATTGTGTCTCGTGAAATAATGCTCTAGTTGAGCAAACCACAACTCAGGATCACTACGATCAAATTCTGGAAGTCGGGATTTCGTAGTCATAACAGTGTCTATCTCCACTGGTGACAAATCCTCCAGATTATGGGTTTCTATTGAGTCTGACATGAGGTATGCGACAAATATAGCAATAAAGTTAGCACAAAAAGTGGTTACTATAACACGAATAACTTGAGATAATACGGAATAAACTAGTTATATACTCAAATTAGTTTACGGATAATCGGGTCTACTTTTACGATTAAGTAAAAAAAATGTTAATAACAGAAATGAGGTTAAATTTGTGTTCAAAAAGGGCTCACCAATTTCGTACCTTAAAGTAACCCTCGTGCTATTGATAGAAGAAACCAGACAAGTAGTGAATAGGTCTTTATTTCGATCTTAGCGCGGTGACAGTGGAGCGTCGGATTACCTGTTCAGACAAACAAAGGCTCTCAACATTCAATATAAGATAATAGGGAATATAACGCTTATACAAAACAAGGAAGTGAATGAATACTTGAACAGTACTGTTTTGGCATATGCTTGGTTGTTTGGGGTCAACTCTTAACCAACCAACCTAGGCTGTTACAGAAGCACTGACAAAACGAAATCTCACTACTGTGGCTACCAATGTTGTTGAACTTCATGAAAGATTAGGTAGACGGCAAACTTCGAGATTGACACGCTGTATTCCGTAAGAACTAGCCATGCACTGACCAAAACACAACATTACTTGTCATTGTTCAACAGCAAATTGAATGAAACTCATCACAATACAGAAATATATTAGATTACGAGAAAGCGTTTGAAGGTGTAGATAAAAGAGCATTATGGAGACTTCTTCGACACTGTAATGTACCTGAAAAGACCGTAAACATCATGCGAAACTCAATCGACGGACTACTCATCGATACTGCACATTAGCGGTAGCCCATATATGCATTGCGAGTGAAGACCAGAGTCAGACAAGGGTAGTTACTCTCTCCCTATCTATTTGTTTTGATGGCTGATTAAGTTATGAAGACCTTCACATCTCAGAAGAAGTACGGAACACAGTGGACTGATTGCATGCAAACAGACGACGTGGACTTCGCAGATGATCTGGCCCATCTATCCCATATACACCAACAAACGTAAGTCAAGACAAACAATGTAACAAAAGCCTCTAAATCAGTAGGTCACTACATATACTGGGGAAACAGCATGACCGTCTAGTACAAAACGGTGAACACCAACCCTAAACACTTGATGGAGATGCTCTGGAAGAAGTGGGAACTTTCATATACCTGGTCAGAATCATCAATGAAGAAGGAGGGTATGATGCAGGTATAAGGGCATGGATTGGAAAAGTAAGGACAGCAGTCCTACAGTTCAAGAACATACAGAACTCAAAACAACTTTCAACCAATATCAAAGTCAGAATCTTCAATACGAACGTCAAGGCAGTTCTACTGTACGGAGTTGAAACTTGGAGAACTACTACAACCATCGTCAAAAAGGTGAAAGTATTAATAGACAATGGTCTACAAATGATACTCAATGCCCATTGACCGGATATAATCAGAACCAACCTTCTGTGGGAGAGAACAAACCAGCTTCCATCTGAAGAGGAAATTTGGATAGGACATACATTACGCAAATGATCAAACTGCATCACGAGACAAGCTCCAATGTAGAGCCCCGAAGAGAAACGAAAAGAGGATGGCCAAAGAACACGTTGCACCGGGAATCGGTAGCAGATATCAAAAGGATGAATAGCACTTGGACAACCATGTCAGGGGCCTTTGATTTGTGTGGTGGAAATTCGTCTGGTGTTCCTCGTAACAATGTTTATGAGTTTAAATAAATAATGAAATAACTAACGTGGATTATTATTATGTGGAATCCGGTTACTGTATCTGCCTTGAAGATCTCATAGAACGAAAACAATGTTATTAAAGATGTGCATTAGTAACCATGGGTTAAGGAAACAGAACGGTGCAACTACCGCATCCGCATATCCGTGACTTGTAACTGGCTTGTATGTTATGATTATCCTTGGCCATGACAATGATGGACAAATTTGAAGATGGCACAGGTATTCAGTGTTTGACAACGCTTTTACCAGTAACACCTTCTAATATAACTCGTACCCACCAAGAGAAACCAAAAGACAGAATCGAGGAGATCAGAAGTTGTATTTGACGATTGCCAGTATATCGGGATTGTCTGATCTGATCTGGTTAGCGATTGCAGTAAATGTTGAGCACGGCGTTCCCACACGTGATCTGGTGTGAATGCATGACCGAGCGCCTTCAGCGAGGTGAATCCACTAAAACTAATGTTGTCAGCACCCAATGTCGAAAACTTACAGAGCTATTTATTTTGTGGATTTATTTACCGCTACATTCGATGACCTAACTGCCAGGTGATTTGTCTAAGCCCGAGTGACTGTCCGCCGGCTCCACAATGATAAAATATCACTCCGTTTAAATCAATTATTTGATATAGTCAGTCCGTGACACAGCAGTCAGTTAGTTAGTACCACAGCAAAATTAAGTTTGAGTATCCACCTCATAATGTTTTCTCGTAAGCTTGGTGGTCAAACCATTATTGTCCAACTCGAGTAGGCCACGATCATTGACGTAAATCATCCACAGTTGTAGTCTAAAAATTAGGCTCTTCACAGATTCTCGGGAAAAGTTTTTTTCTAATTGCATTTATTGTCCAACGATTTTTAATACAGTTTTCCAGTCGCACTGAAGGGCGTTATCTGACCTTGAAACAATTGTTGTAAGCATAAAGATAAAGATAAATTGTCTAGCCTTTGACAAAAAACCTGCTTGACTTCGATTACCACAGAACATTGTTTGTAAGTGGATATACCTAATGTAGTCGAAAATACAAGGTTTCAACGATGGACAGTAATTTCCAAGTATATATGTTTGTCAAAGAAACTGGCTTAAATTAAAGGATTGTTTACATTCGAATTTATAAAACCTTTCCGACACATGGGTTTGTGAAGGTTTAATCTTGTCAGCGCCTTCGATTAGCTTGTTTAGCAAACAGTGTTATTCAACTAGCTACAGTTTGTATATTTTGATATTAATACCATGTCTATATGAATATGTATGCTTGACCACATGTTACAGAATACGTACATATCCCTCATTCTAGCTTAAACGTTAGTCGCTTAAAAACTGTTTGATGAGTCATTTGTTCTCCCGATATACATAGGTGCGTTAATCTTATTAACTGACTCTCTTCATTCGATTTTTTGTTCGACTAATAATTCGCCTCTTTATTTGCTCGCATTAGCATTTCTGCTGGGATTCGCTTGGTGTGTTTGTGGCTGAGTGATCTGTGCTATTCAATAATAAACTAGCTGGTGCATCGTGCTGCATTCTGAGATTCATACACCGTTGGGATTTATTTAATAACAGTTATCGAGACGATTGGTTTACCAAGCGTAAGAAATTGTCTAGGAGATAATCCACTACAAATCAGCCTGATGTACGTCATTTTTTAAACCGTGTAATCTACAGTTATATCTAACTGACATTTCCTGATTGAGGTTGGAGGCTTCCTATTCATGTTTATTTACGTGGGGGTTATTGTAAATTTGTCAACTAAAATGATAGTAATTAGTAGTTCGTTAGCGATATATATATACTCGGTTCTGTCACACTAATGTTAATAACTGGGTCCACCTTTTTAAATAATAATACTGTAGGCCGTTCAAAACACTCAAATAACACTATAATGTTGTATAAAGATAAGTTCTATGGTTGATATAGTAAGCAAGGCCCAGAGTTTGAAATCGAAGGGAATTTGTTGACTTTTAACTGCAGTATCATAACTAGAGCTGAGTTTATACTGGCTTCGAATCTGTTGCTTCAGTGCCTCCAAGTAGTAGGTTATTTCATGGACTGCAATTCTAACCTATGGTACTTACATTGTTGATTTGGCTACTTTGACACAATAACGTCGTTAACGATGTGGTTGCTTATGGGATTGCGTTTTGGGATCACTCTGGATGGATCTGAGGAGTATGTTAATCAATAATGTCCTCTAAACGGTATACTTCCTAACGCTTTATGGCTGTTTGTCTCTCACAGACAGAATACTGTGTGCTTGGGAAATTTAGAGAAATGTAAGCTTCTTGTGTAGATTCAGATACATACTAGAGATAAGTGACACTAAATCTTGACTCCTTTTCGTTTTTAATTAAGTGCGACTACGTCATCATATCTTTTATGTGGACGTTTGGTATATGCACACATACTTCTTGTCTAGTCGCTATCTTTCGTTTTACTAATCTTGTTATTTTTTTATTCTTTTGACTCCGTTTTAGTTTTTTAAGAGACAGGAAAGCCTAAACCAGTGAATGTTCGTGCAGATCTCTGTTTCGCTCCTCCTTTCAATTTATTTCATACATCTTATATTCTGATGCATTAAGACAATGTTCACGTTTTCATTTCTCACTAAGTTACATGTATATCCAGTTTTGATCAAAATCTTTACTATTTGTTCCTTTTAACATAGATTGAAAACGTCTATTCCAATGTCAGACACTCCTGGTGTTATTCCTAACATGCCTATTGGTTCGCATCAGTCATCTACTAGTGCAAAGTCTAATACAACTAAACGAAAAGAGATATATAGATACAATGCTCCTTGGTGTATTTTCAGCATGAACTGGTCTGTCAGACCGGATAAACGCTTTCGTTTAGCTGTGGGTAGTTTCATTGAGGAGTACAATAATAAAGTCCAAGTAATATATCTAGACGATGAACAAGGAGAGTTCGTTGTACAAAGTACGTTCGCACATCACTACCCAACGTCAAAAATCATGTGGATCCCTGACACAAAGTGTATTTTCCCTGATTTACTTGCCACAAGTGGTGATTACCTTCGTGTTTGGAGAATAAATGAAGATTCTGAAGTTAAAAATGAATGCTTATTGAATAATAATAAAAATTCGGATTATTGCGCCCCACTTACTTCCTTTGATTGGAATGAAGTAGACCCGAATATCATTGGAACTTCTAGCATCGATACTACATGCACTATCTGGGCCCTTGAAGTAAGAATCATGAAAATACCATTTGAACTGCTTTACCAACTTTCCGTATACACCTATTAAAGGGGGAAAGTGTCTTGAGTGACAGAGACTTATTAAACGCCAAGTGATTTCACTAAGTAAACATAGTACATCTCTTACAACTGACTATCAGTTTTAGAATTACAGATAGAATCAGTTTTACTACTTTGTGGAGCAAAATTTCACCCACCTTGATCTTATATAGTGATAAGCGATCTCCCCTAAATTAAAAATGTCTCTACTAGGAAATAAGTTACTTTGTAAGCAATGATGGATAGTAGCTAGCAGTGGGATTTAGGACGCGCGTTTCGTCTCATTTGAGACCCATCAGCTGGATGTACCTACATCTCAGTGTTGATGTTCACTCTGGGGCTCGAATTCAGTACCATTCGCTTCAAACGCCATTGCGTTACCCACTCAGCTACCGAGTGCTGATAGCCACTTGCTTGTTGAATGAGGTGAATTTAAATTCACTTGGTATTGTTTGGCTTTTATCTTCCCATTAAGGTTTAAGACTGTAATTGATCAGTCTGTTATTGGCATATGTGCATACTGTGTGTATGCCTCGATATTGCCTTAATTCACAAGCTTTGTAAGCAATGATGGATAGTGGCTAGCAGTGGAATCCAGGACGCGCGTTTCATCCTATATGCCAATAACAGACTGATCAATTGCAGTCTTAAACCTCAATGTGAAGATACAAGCCAAACAATACCGATTGAATATAAGTTACTCTGGTTTTTGAAAATATATGGTGCTTAGTGCGTCAGACACCGCACTTGTCCGAACTTCAGTTCATACACCAGAGTTTAAAACGTTAATATGAATCGAAGATCAAGTACTTAAATCAGTCGCCTTGGTTGTATTTTGTTTAGTTTTGTTTCATTGTGACTGATGAAAAATACATAGAAAATAGAGCGACAGACCACCATTGCTTGTTGCCCTGAAGCTCATCAATCGTCTGATAATTTACCTTCGGTACGGAAAAAATCTCTGCAAACTAGGGGTTTGTTTTTTAAAATTGTTGTTTCATCTTTTGACCTGGTCTGTGAAGTGTTCAAGAGCCTATTTCAGTCGAAGGCAAGAACGTCAAAACGGTTTTCCAGTACTCTAGTTTACATTACTTATACAATGTAAACTAGCGTACTGGACAACTTTAAGGCTAATCTTCTATAGAAGATGTTTTGTTTTATGTATGAAACTTGTTAACAGTTTCTTTATATAATTATCTATCTTAACTGTTACTTCAAAAGACGGAGCAGGTGATCGGCCATACAAATGTCGTAAGTGGACGTGTAGAATCTCAGTTGATAGCCCATGACAAAGAAGTATATGACATAGCTTTCAGTCGTGCTGGAGGCGGAAGAGATGTTTTCGCTAGTGTTGGTAAGCGATTTTATTTCCAACCTGAATATTTTCTCCTGTAATTTAACTTAACAGAGTCCTTGTCATTTCCCCATGAAGAACTACACAAAGCTCTAAATTCCTACCTTATGTTATTTCAACCAGTTACAGTGATTAAAATGCAATCAGTTTATAATTTTCTCACTTTACAGCTCTATACAGTAGTCAGAACACTATTATGGTACTATCTACCGAATACATAACATAATTAAGCAACATATTTTGAAATTGAAATAAGCAGTCCAGAAATATTTGAAAGTGAAGGCACTCAATATATATTCATTTATTAAGTATTTGGGTCATGTTATTTTATATTTTCCGAATTTAATGATTCGGCTTTACTAATTATCAGTTTTATACCATTAATGTCCTATCTATGTACAGATTGTGATTTATTATTTATGGTACGTCATATATAACCACAGAATTTTAGGAGAGTGAATAATGCGATATACTCACCCGGTTTACGAAGTATTTCGAACTGTAAACGAAGGAACAGGTGATAATTTTGTGGACTACCGGTTGTTAGCTTATATAAGCATGACGTTAGCTGATTCTTTGTTAACTGTGATAATCAGCAAAATTCTAGTAGTATTATATGAATAAAAGTACTAAATTAAATAATTATATGTTAGGGATAACAGACAAGCAACGGCCATAAAAGTCCTAAGGTGAAGTAGCTGTCATAACAGGCTGAAGTGAATACCTCTAGATCTACGTATGAATAATTATGAATAATGTGACGGAACTACTGGTGGGATGTTCCGAATAAACAGATACCAGAGAAAAAAACAACTCGTCATTAAAACATGAGCCATTCTGTGTAACAATGATGTACTCACCTGCAAACATGAAATGAAGTTGATTATACATCACTTTTCAGAAACACATGACTAGTGCGTAAGTATCGCAAGCCATCCATCCGCCTGATCATCAAGCTCACTTATTCCACACCATAAAGGTTTTAGTTACTTTTCTTCTTTATCAAATTAAAGAGCGTAGGAATACGCATTTATATATATTTCTATTTAATGTCTTAAATTGTTAGCACTGCTGTGTTTATTTCTTTGTTTTGGAATTGTGCAAATGTGAGATGTGACAACATACAACCGTGCATGCTTAAAACGGGTCAAAATCGTATTTGTCAACTTGTTTTACAATCGTTTAAAGTAATGTTATGTATTACTTTGTTTTGTTAAGTTCAATAATAGTATTATAAGAGACAACTCAGATACATTCCATGTGGTTTTCGCTTTAGATCATCGGTACTTTCGGTTTCTCCATTAAATTGTTATATATTTCGTAGTCCAAATACAACTGTCCATAATTCCATGCCATTCTGTCTCAGGTAAAGTAATTGGATTTTGACTGATCATATTTTTTAGGTGCAGATGGTTCTGTACGTATGTTTGATCTTCGGCATTTGGAGCATTCTAATATCGTGTATGAAGATTCAAATCATTCCCCACTTTTACGCTTAGCTTGGAATAAGCAAGATGCAAACTATCTAGCGACATTTGCAATGGACTCCGTAGAAGTAAGTTGTTTTAGTTATTCACTTTTTCATCATATATTCGATTGATATTTTCATAATTGGATAAAACACTCTAGTTTTTATAGGAACACCTGATACTATGATAGTTACTAATGATGTTGGATTTTGTTAATAAGTCGAATTGTTTCGTAGACTTGAATAACTTTTTTATTATGAAAGTATCAATGTAAGATCCTGAGGATTATATAATCGAAGATCCGATTGTAATATGTATTACAAGGTATATTTTGATGATAACACGTGTCAGATGGCTTTTATACGAACATTATTCGTTTTATCAACCAACTAACTAGGAAACGCATTCTGTACTAGATCTAAAAACGACGGCGTCTGCCAATGACCAAAGACATTTCCGTGAAATCGCTCAATAAGAAGTTTTCACGTTTATTATCATTTACACTACTTTACACTAATCTAGTCGTTATTGTTCTTTTTTTTTACGCTCCTTATCTTCTTTTTTCCTCTTCCCATCCTCATTGTTTTGTGTGGCGCATATATATTTGGTGCTCTCTTGTACCAATATTTACGTGTTCAAATAAAATAAAATAATTTCACGTTTATTACTGTTCGAAGGAAGATTACTAGGACGTTATTTATGCACATCTTATCATCGACTCGAACAAAGCGGCTATTTTGTGGACAGAAATTTAGAAAATAAATGTGTATAACGAAGGTAGATGCTAGATTACCTTGATACTCAAAAGCTGGGACCCTTTGTTTTTCATATAGCTTGAATGTCTTATTACTATTTATTTGTTCGCTCTCTTTTTCGTTCACACCTTCCTCATTAAGTTGAATAGGTTACTGAAGTTGAGATGTTACTCAAGGGGAAAGGGGTAACTATTTGATGCAACACACTTCCATAGGAGAAAGAGTTATCCGCTGTCCCGTTTGTCAATTTATCTCAGGAATCTTCTTGTTAAACCTGCAGTAACCCTATAACTCTTATGTAAATATATTTTCATTTTTGGACAGCTCTTAGTCATTCAGATAAGATGTGACTAATGAGCCATCCAGGTAATCTTATATTTGTTATAAATAGCATGTACATGTACGTCCTTTTTCCGTGCTTTAGGCGTCCGAACCTTGCCTCACATACTTCGGTTGTGAAAACCAGGGAAATTTATACTTTAAGTCAGAAAACATTAATGTACGGGTGGTTGGCCATTCTAACACACCTCAAATGGCTATGAAATTTTAGAGACCTACTTTAAAGTATATGTCGACAGATGTTGATACATAATATAACGAGATAGAGTAAAAAGTTCATTTACGGTAATTGATTCAGGAACGATGGTTCGCTCAAATCCAATTCTTTACAATTGCATTCATGTTTTTGCCGCCTGTTTGCACAACTCTACCATTACTTGTAGATAAAGTTAAGATTATTGTCCCATCCTCTCATGTGAAGTGAAATAATAATAATAATTCCGTTCAATATATGTTTTGATCTCTTTCAATTTATTTCAACGCTCACTTTGTACAAAAATACAATCACATAATAGAAATGGGCCTACAGTTAGTTTTAAAGTAGTATAATATACAAATTTCAATTTAACCCACTCTTATATAAGTGCAGATTCATATACTAAGCGTTAAGTTACAATCTGTCCCAAATGTAGGGATACTACCCTTGATAAAGCTTTCGAATATATACCATAGATACTAAAGGCAGAATTCAGTTTATTTATATCTTTGGATAGATGAAACGTGTTATCGACATATGAAAAAGTATACTTGTTTTGTAATCAATTGGTCACTTTCTTTAATTCGCTCTAATTTAGTAGCTATTTCGATTTAACAATTACTGAAGAGATCTCAGCCTCTTTGTTTTGCACAATATGCTTACCTATCTTTCAGTATACTGATGTTCTTTTTGGATTTATATTGTTTTACAACTGCAGATAATTATTTTGGATTTACGTGTACCATGCACTCCAGTAGCTCGTTTAAACAATCACAGAGCATTTGTAAATGGATTAGCATGGGCACCACATTCAAGTTGTCATTTATGTACAGCATCTGAAGATTGTCAAGCTCTTATCTGGGATATTCAGTCTATGCCAAGAGCAATAGAAGATCCTATTCTAGCATATACAGCTGCCGGTGAAATTAATCAAATTCAATGGTCATCAACACAACCAGATTGGATAGCCATTTGTTATAATAATTCGTTAGAAATTTTACGAGTATAATATTTACTGTTTATTTCTTATTTTATCAACTGTTTTAAAGTTGTACTATAATTAAGATCAAATATTATTTCTTCCTTTATGCTTACTAACTATTGTACGTTATTTTCATGCGTTTAATTATTATTATTTTCCAAATATTCTGGATAATTTAACTGTGTACTATTATCGAGATACATGTATTGGTTGAAATCAAAGTTTCGACTACATATGAATCAATTTCAAATGTTGTTTTGTACATTCACTTGAAAACATTTGTGTTTGTTTAATCAATTTATAAAATTCCTTAAGAATTACCATTATAAAACAGGAAGTTCTTCAATAATAGTTGTATTCAGCAAGATCTGTGAGACAGAAACAAATCGACATTTACTCGATTTTGGGAAAATGACAGACAAAATATAGTCGATGTAAGTTATCTTTAATATTATATATTATATATATATAATAATAATAATAATAATAATATATATTATATATATATATATAATATATATATATATATATATAATATATATATTAATATTATCCCTATGGTGTAAACGCGTTTGACTTCAGTGCATTATGTGAGACGGTGGAGAAGATTTGTAGCTCAGGTGGATGGTTTTGGTGGAAGTTTGTGCTGATGATGTCGTTCAGAAGAACGATGAAAGCTCCACGACCAAACCATCCAGCTCAGAGAACAAAACTCCACCAAAATTATATGAGACGTTTGGAAGATAGCATATTAGTTTTTCTAATCATTTAGCAATGTTGTGTAAGAGGAGCTTTTCAACGGACAAAAAGACGGAGATATTTTTCCACAATTACATAATGTTTGTAAACGCTCATCTGCAAAAACTGTTCAACGTACGACAATCATACAATTCGCACTCAAACTACTTGCGATCATACCAAATGTTTCCAGTTTCAAGAAATTCCAGCTCTACTATTTCAATTTCTAAATATGTTATGTATTCAGTACATAGTACCATAATAGTCTTCTGACTACTGTATAGAGCTGTAAAGTGTAGCAAGCCCATTCACATCAACCTTAATGTATTCTCCTATTGTTTGTAACATACAGGTAGTCAATAATTTATCCACACTAGATTGACACTCAAAAATGTATATGGATATTTAACACACACACTCATGGTTTCACAGTGTGTTTGCTCGCTGTAAGCTTGTGGATTTTATTTATCTTTAACAAAAAAATATCTCTACAACTGGTGTTCAGGCTTCTGAGTAGTCTCGAGTAAATCCATAATCCTACTAGAAGATTTAGCGTACCTTAAATACTAAGTTAACGGGAAATCATTTATTGGAGTTAGATATAGAGGAAACTAGCCCTCAACAAAAGTGAGAAAATCATAAGCTGGTTGCACTTTAATCACTGTAACTGGTTGAAATAACATAAGGTAGGAATTTAGAGCTTTGTGTAGTTCTTCATGGGGAAATGACAAGGACTCTGTTAAGTTAAATTACAGGAGAAAATATTCAGGTTGGAAATAAAATCGCTTACCAACACTAGCGAAAACATCTCTTCCGCCTTCGCAACGACTGGAAGCCTTATCATGTGCTTATACTTTGAAGTCATAACTTTGATCTTAAAATGTCTAATTGTAGACCGGAAAATAAATTTATTTGTTATTCTTCAAAACACATTACTCATGTTCCATATGACTACGATGACCACAAATTTAGGGAGAACAATTCAGCATCAAGTAGTTAAAGTTATGCAGAAAAGGGGGATATCATAAGAGATCCAAAAAGTGAAATAATTGACCGTAGTATGATGAAAGTAGATCCAGTCTGTATCTATTTTTATCCTTTAAAATCCAGCCAGGACAACTGCAAGTCCGTAAGCAAAATATTTTCGGCTTGGATTTGCATTACTGTCTACTAATTCAGCAGTCAGGTAATTGTTTTTAAAGCGACTAGTTCATTATATATTGTCACTAATTATATACGACTAAGAGTTTCCTAACTTCACACTTGAATGCGTTGGTGTTCATGTAGTTCTTGATGATGTGAAACTCGAATAAAACAAACACTTCAGTATTTATGGTATGCTTGTTAGGATTCTGAAGTTCCAAAGTATTCTTGGAAATGCTTGGTTATAAACATAAAAACGCGCTGTTCCAGAATGTAAAATCAAAATCTACATTAATTTGAAATATATAACAGTTTGAACCGAGGAAATAAATCCTAAGTTGTTGATATTCAGTTTGCATGGTGCCAGTTTCGGTAGCAAGTCAGTATTAGTCAAAGAAGTACGGAGTATTTGAAGCCGCTTCATCGCATTCTCAGATTCCTGGTATCCAACGTCTTTCCGAGTAATTGGTTCGGTAAACAGTCTCTTTGTTGAATACTAATGAGTTGTCTCAGGAGAAAATCTAACCGCTCACCATATTACCTGGCGTACGAATGGGTTGGAAGAAAATTTAGGGCGGCCAAATCAAGTCGTGATATCAATCCATGATGTCACTGACAATTTGACTAAGGTTCGTTAGTAGACCCAGATCTTTTTGAATGGATTCTAGTTAATAATTGTCATCGGTAATTGGAGACGTTCAGTTCAGAATTAGTCACAGTGACGCAGATGCATTTAGACTTTATCTTCCGCTACGTTTTGAGTTTTATTATTATTTCGTACACTTTATTCCTCAAACTCATTCTTATCCTTCGAATAGCAACCTCCAATATTTAGTGTTTCTTAGTATAATCGGTACTGATATATATATTTTTAATTATCATTCCTCTTCCCGTGTTGATGTGCTATGGCTTCTTGGGCTGATGCACATTTCTGTCAGACTTGTATGGTGATAAAAATTGATTTAAATAAGTGGTATGTCCATTTTTTTTCAAGAACTATTGAATCCCTTAAGTTCCTAGGAAACTCAACTTCAGTTAAATTAATTTTGTTAAAGATTTAAATGAAACTAATTTTATAAATAATACTCAAAACATTCAGAAATAAACAGAAATAGTTTGATGATTAATTATGAAAGTTTATTTTAGGAAGTTTTATACAATGAATAAATAAAAAAACCGAGATTTCACATTTTATCCAATGTTCCGGTTATAGTATATACACATTCTAACTATTTTTCACAGGTAATTATGATTTAAAAAAGGTGAATAGTTATCCTTGTAATTTTATTATTAAGGACTTAACTCTTGGAAAAACTGATAAAAATTCATTTCTGACTTGATATGATTCCCAAAAATTTGTCAAATGGCGTAAACAGGAATTAGATTTCATAAATACACGAATCTATAAGATAAAGGTTATATATATATATATATTATAAAATTTCTATATGACAATTAAGATCAATGTATACAAGAAAATACCCCCAAAAGTATCGTATTACTGTTACAACTGAGAGAAACTTGTAATAATTAATACTGGAAAACACTCCAGTTTCTATGATTCATATAAGAATATCGAAACCGATTGAAGATGAAAATCTATTTCATTCACCAAAACACGTTAACAGTTGCTGTAACGGTGGATAATTGGGACTGATTATTTGAACCTGTGAATCGCATGACCCAAATAAGAACATAGAGATTTTAGACGAGGATTTATTTGACATACATTTTGTAGAGTGAAACAGATCTTTGTCTGCAATCAGTTTTCGTATTCTATTGTTGGTGGTGGAGATCGCAGTGATTTCCGGTACCAAACACTACAAGTTATTCCCACTTGCAATGACTATCTGTAGCTATCATTTTCATTCCCTTCTTTTTAGTCTTGTGGGTTTATTTTCATGTCGCCGATGTGAAAGTGTAGTATAGTGAATCAATAAACAAACATTTGTCTTAGTTTATGATGTGTTTAACTTTCAAGTCCAGCTGATGTCCATTTGGCACCTTTATGAGCTGTCAATTTTTGGTAAGTTAATCAATACTACTAGTTGTTTGAAGTTAGTTTTGATCAGCGGTGAAATGGTTTATACTATAGTAAAAACACGTCAGAAAAAACTTACCTTATTCGAATTAGGTAGCAGGAGGTGGCTGGGTTCAGGCTTGTAACCTGATGGTTGGGAGGTGAACACCTTAATTACTGAGTCACCACTATACAGGTACACTAGTAAAAGTTCGTTAATGCAATATAAGTATAAATAATTGTTTGACAAACTTCATAACAAGTCTAATAAATTTACTAAAGATGCTTTGAGTGTATTACATTCCAATATTTAGAAAAGTAAATAATGAAACGTTCAATATTTTTCTAAAACGAATGAATTCTTAATTTGTATAGGTAATAATGTAAATAATTGGCAACTACTGTACGGAAATTAGAGTTCGGATTTTTAGTAGGTAATATACACACACCAGACAGAAAGCGATGAAAAAACTATTACCGTTTCAAGAATGGATCGATGAGAGAGGAGAGTTACGACCGCCTGAGTTTCTGAAACTTATACGCAGTTTGAACTTAATTGTCAATGTAGCGCATTAAAGTGAGAACTAAAACAATGAAATGGAACTCACTTTTTTACTGTTATGAATCGCAGCTTCAATAGCACTGAGTACAACTCTAATAGAATACAATGAATTCGTGTCCAAATGAGAATCCAATAATATATCACGAAAACAATTGATAACGTTAAAGTCTGAATAAAAATGTATAAACACGTAGCAATCGCGGTTATTTTAGAAAATATATGATGACTGTGAATACATAAAATAAATAGATACTCCGATATCACACTGGTCCAATAAATATTAGCATTCGACTTCAAAGTCATCTGTACTTTATTTATCGAATTATATAGATTTTTAAGACAACCATTTAGAGAATTCGAAACGAATCAAAATGAGACTTATCTCATAAAAGAAATCACAGGAAATGGGCGTAAATCACTTTAAATAACTGGTAGATATATGTTAGATATGCATATAACATGGAAGAAGTGATATGGAGTAGTGGAGAAAACTATCAACGACAGATACACAAGGAACTATTTGAAGCAATTCACTTAAGATACCGTTAAGATCTGATATTTAGTAAATGAAAATCATTTCAAGAAAGTGAGAAGTAAAGATATTACACATAATCAAAGGGTTAGAATTTAACTACAGTATCTCCAAATAGTTCGAGGTAATCTCTACTTAAATATTCGTTCTCTCGACCATAACTGCTAGCTTTGATGGATTGATCGGGGGTTGGCTATCTTAATAACTCGATCGAGCTATATTAGCTATGCTAATTTTCCCATTAGGTACTACCATGCAAGAGAGGTTTGATGCAAAATGATAAAACTATAAGCAGGAACTTTAAGTCCGAGAGTAACGTCGTGCAACTGATTAAAATTGGGTTCGGCAACCAATGTTTCAGATAACGACCATTTACAGCAATAATGTCTCTTCACGATGAAAGGAAGGAGTTATAAAATGTTGACCCTAAAAATGTGAAACTATTTAACCCCACAGACTTTCTTTATAGTGTAGAACAAACACATCCAAAACTTCTCGCTAAAGTTGTGTGTGGTCGTCTTAAAGTAGTTACCTCATGGCTTCTGCGTTCACGCTCACAGCTCACTACGAACATTACTAATACAGACCCCTTCCCAAGTTCCTCAGAAAAAATCATTCACAATGTAGGCAACTGAAAAGTAATTACAGCCGTCTTGACCAACGCTTAAAATCACCCACTATTGTTGTTCTGAATAATATCATCAGTGCCTGTATGAAACAAAGCTCTGTATTGTGGATGAGATAGTTTTCTTAGAAGTACAACATGTAAAAAAACAGGATATATATATATATATATATATATATATATATATATATATATATATATATATATATATATACATATATATATATATCAAACGAAGACTAACTTGCAGTTAATAATTTCGATTTCAAAATACTGTGTGTGCATAAATTCCGCAAGATTACTAAAGCTGTTTCACGATTATCAGGTTTACAATGATTTATACAATTGATCAAAATTGTGGGTAAATCTGAAAATGTAAATGTTTTAAACAAAAAAAATAAGTGCGAAACATTACTGTTATCATTCATATAAAACTTACCGATTTAAATAAAATTATTAAGCACTATTGTACTCTGTAGTGTCAGTTATTTGTCAAGCCCATATGCTTTATTCTAACTTTCGGACAGCCCAGTCTATTCATTCTACTTGAGTCATATTTTGACCTTGTTAATTATTCGCTTATCAGTCTTGACTGTTTTTATATGAGCGTATATGCGTGTACACTTCATATCCCATGTCTCATCACATGTCTGTAGTTTATTTTGTCTGCCTATAAATATTGAGTAACGCCTGGCTAAAAATGAGTTGTCTTACCAGCCATCTCCCCTGCTCGTCATTTTGCTTTGTTCTATTACATTCACTTGACATACAAAATATATGTATTCAAAGGCCATTCTTGTCAATTGAATTATCTAAATTCCGTTATTGACTAACGCGATTTAAGTCGATGATTGTATACGACGATAGGTGATAACAAACATCATTACGATCTAATTGGAATCAGATCCACGGGCCACTAAAACTCCATAATGTTGATTTTACCAATCCAATCAAATCAATCATTTTACAATCATGATGGAAGTGTTTTACACTAAGTCACGAGACGTCAGAAATTCAAATTTCTACTCATTAAGATGTCACAAATATATCGTCTTATTACTAACTTTCTATCTAATGCTCGATTTATTTAAAATTATTAAGTCCAACTTTACTTGGTATTGGTACGTACAATCATTCCACGTTCGACAGATAGATTAATTACTGGTACCAGTTTGACAAATGAAATCTTATCATAGCTTATGTAATCCGATAATCAGGTCATTTATATTTTGGGTTTGAATTATAACCACGTCAAGACGCAATATGAACAAATCAAAATTATTGTAAAACATATGCTTCTTGATGATCGGTGAAACATTGAAGAAAAATAATCATTAAGCATTTACAAATTAGTCGTTATTTTGTTATCATAACAAATAGTAACAGGAAATGTAAGCTGCTAATTATTGTCCAACAATAACTGCAAAAACTCATCTAATTGTAATAAGTATTGGTTTAGTTTACTTATGATTTTTAATCGGGTCTGTAATATCATATGTAAAAGTGATGAGTACATTATTATCTTTTGAATGTATACAATAACAAAAAAGTTAACTACACTGTTTGAGGAACATGAAACATGTTATGTCCCACAGAATAATGGGAAATGGTATTGGAACATCGGAAACATCAGATTTACATTAAAAAGATAGTTTAACATTTCACTTCTAAAATGCCGCGTCATATATAAGAAAGATAATAACAAATTCGCTTACTCGGTTGATTAAATAGTATATGTTGTCCATCTTTAGTGAATGATATATTAAGGATCAATTGTAGCCAAAGGGTGAGTATAAAATGTCCACGACGACTTTTGATCAGTGTACGTGGGTTCAATTCTGATATGTGATTAAGGATTTTAGACTAAAAATAAAGAATAAATGCATCATGAATAGTAAAATCAAAATAGTGACAAGTTAATTGGTTGATAGTCCAAAGAGATCATGGTTCAATGTAGGTTCAAGGTACCTTTTATGATTGTAGGTACTGAGTGGTAGGTCCAAAACCGAAACGAAACACCTGCTCAACTACTTTCCAGCTGAAACCATTTCAAAATAGTAATAATTGTTTAATATTGACTGAATTATGAGCGATAATGTTTTCTCTTCAATCAACATATCTGAATAATACTAAGAAGAAATAAAGTTCAAACATTTATAAATGTCGAACTTGAATTTCTGTCTGGTGTTAACAAAATGATAATCAAAATATCTTATCTTACTTGACCTACCTTTTATCATAGCGTATTAAAATGAAGCCTTTTTGACGTGGTATTTTTGTAGTTTCTAAAGATAAACTACAGAATCTTCCATCATTTGGAATATTGTTTACAACAAGTCTGTGGAAGAGACTTACGTACCTGTGTCAGTTAATAATTTTTTTGTTTAAAATCTAGACGTTTTTGAACTTATTCAAACAGGACTATTTTTCACGAAGCTGCATTTGTAATTATTCAATTACATTTAAACCTAAAATAATACACATATTATCGAAAACAACTAGTGAGGTTCAATCATATTGATTGTGATAGTTTCATCTTCTTTCGGTGTAAAAAATCAAAATTCATAAACGAAGCAATAATTTTATTTTTATTTGTTATACACCAATTTCAATAGTGTGTTGTACGAAAGCAACAAATAATGGCGACGTCGTGCAGAATGTTGATGAGACATTTACGACTAAGTATCAAGATCCAAAAAAGTCAAACAAAATTGTCAAGACATTGAGCAAATATTCTTCTACTATATCGAAACCATGAATTACAAGTCTTAAAGCAACTACAATACTTTTAGACTACTGAATCGAAATCCAATTTCACTTTAAATTCAATATATTGGTATTATCATCTGGTGTCAGCGGTGTGGATAACTATGTAGTGAACGAGAACTCAACTGGGGAAAACCAGTTTATTCCTTAATGCAAAATTACAGAAATGTGAAAACCATACATTAAATGCATGATTTTCACACCTTATTTCAGTTATCCTGTATGTGTTTTATGATTCTTTCAATTCTGTTGTTAGTACAATTGCTCGGTATTTCTCTTCCTATTCTCTTCAATTTAATTTTTTGCTAGCAGGCATTCCACTTCCGAGCATGCACCGCAATTAAAGCATTACCAAATATTAGTTTTGAATCTATCAAAGAGTCTAATTATATGGCTGAGATACACGCGAAATCGAAGTTCGTAAAACAGCGATTTATCTAAAAAGCGTTTCTTTATTGAGTAATATACATAAATTAGTTACAAATCTCATTTCGTGGGGTGCCTGTGGCGCTTAGCATGTCTTTGAATATGAAAGAAAACGGGATTCCTGCAATAGTAACATAAAGAATAATAATGACATACGATAGTCCGAGTGACAGCTGATAGCTGTGTCTATTGTAGATAACAGCTTTTCAACAAGCCAGAACGGAACCAAGATCAAACAAATATTGAAATCAGTTTAGGTGTTGTGGAGGTTGCTACGTTTTTAACTGAGATCATGAACCAATTGATGTTAGACCAGCATTCGTCCAATAGGACGAAACGGCGGTCCAGTGCTTCCCAGGTTTTCAATGGTGGTCTAACATCAATCGGTTCATGATCTCAGTCAAAAAAATATGGAAATTATTGCGTTTAAACAAAGATAAAGTAACTACATAAAGCCGTGAATAACCGCTACAGGGATTGAAAGAACGTAATTCTAATGACAAACAATAAATGTTATTAATATATGTATATATCTTAGAATATCACACGAAAAAACGCGTAGAAATTGCTAAGATTACAATTATTTACTGAACATTAATAAGTAGTATAAAACAATAAACAAAAAGAGTCGACGGGAAAGGAGTAAGGACAGAGAACGTAAACAAACTTAACAATCAGTAAAACAAAAAAATGTAATATATTAAGCAAACACATTCAAAGAACAGTAGCTTTCAGGCTCCTGATAAGTAGCGTCCTACAGCGATTTGTTTTTAACCTAATAAATATTATGATTTAAAGTAGATCGATTGGTATTTTAACTGATAATATTAAAGTCTTAAATATTTATAAATATGTAACAAAAAGATTCATCGTTGTTTTAAAGCTATGCCCTATATATTACAAAGCAAGTTACCTATATGCTATAATATCCTTTTGTAATATGAATAACTAATAAAAATGTAAAGATGAAAAATTCAGTATGAAATATAAGTAAAAACTTACTTTTAATAAAAAGGATCTTGTCTCTGGTGCCCATACCATATTAGCTAATAATTGAAAGATTAACTTATATATATCTTCTTGATGTGTACTTGTACTTTGTTTATTACCCATAATATTGGTACAACAATTAAATTGATATGTTTTGCTAATGTTTCCTGATGTGTTTGTATTACATTTTTTATTTGATTCGGTTAATATGAATTGATTGTAAGTTGGAATTAAATTACATAATGATTGAATAAAAGAACTATTTATTGTCAAGGAATTCGATGCATTGAATAGTATAATGGAAGCTTCTTTTTTTGTGCACAGATGTTATGAAGAGTAGAAAAAAGGTTCAAAGAAAACATCATTAAGTATATCATAAAATTAGCATTAAAGATATAACATTTTGGCAAATTTTATTCAAATTGAGGATTGATAACTGTACTAAACCTAATTTCGATTAATGATATATCAAAATGATGAATAGTTTTGGATCGTAAAAAGAATAGTTTAACTGCCTGATTTGATGAATGATTTGAATGGTTGAGATATTGAATTTTTTAGCCAAGTTCTACATTTCCAAAAACCTTTGATAATTAAATCACAAATAAAAACGAAATGAGAAAATATGAAAGATCACTTATTCCCAAAAGAGTTTCGTTTTCGCTAATCATTGAGTATTTCATCAGGTTTACAGTGAACTTGTAATTCCATAATCTTACAGGAAAGATATTGAAATTTATACTGAATTCAAGACTTGACGAGCTAGATTAAAAATTATGATGAGTTTATAGAATTATCTAAGAAATCATTTAAAACACTAATGGGCTAGAAATACTCTTGGCCACTTTCAGGCTTTTGCAGAAGCTTTTAAAATCAATATGACAACTGTTTCATAAGACTTTAAATAATTCATCTAGAAATGAAGATTAAATATGTATCATTTTATTTAAAGTAAATGGAAGTGACATCTATCATCCTTGTAGTTTTGAAGGGCGGCCTGCTTGAGCATCTGGGCTACCTGTTCTTGTCATCTAGATATTTCAACAAGTTATCTATTTTTGTTTGTTTTAATATATCTTTATATTTATTAGTCGCATGACCTATTCTGTTGCGTTTCTGAAAAGTGTACAACCTTTCGTTGTCAAAGTTACAAAAAACTCAATAAGAGACAATGTAGTTGCTGGTAATATACAGCGAAAAGAATGCACATTATCCAGATGTGCATTTACTGAACTGCTAACATCTAACTGGCGATCACTCAATATTTATCGCCAGGACCGACCAAGAAAAAAGAAACGGAAACTTGTTGAAATACTTTACGCTGAGAATTCTATATTGTACCAAAAATATAATATTGAATAAAGCTAATAATAATAATAATAATAATAATAATAATAATAATTTGATGTTTTCATCTGTCATATTCACTAGAATAATACATCCGAGTTCGATTCAAGTCATAGACTATCTTGATTTTCCCAGAATATTTATATATGAATATATATTTTAATAATGAATAGTTTAACAATGAATAATAACTAGCTGATGTTAGAAATAACTCATATTAAAAGAGTTAAACTCAGTAACAAATGTCAATTCTCGTCACAAACAATCCATCGGTTATTTAACGATTGAACAATAAGGGACAAGGAAAGAGGTTATGCGATAACATAATAGTTACTTACGTATATTACAGCTGTAATACACAAATCTCACAGTATTTATACTAGACATACATTAAATGCATGTACGATAATAAATTGTACTCTCAGTTCATTCAAAATCGAACAAGTCTATTCTCTTCGTCATTCCTTTCCAAGCAATTCATTTAAGAAAAAAACACTTATGATCAATGTCAATGGGCAGAAAATATTAAGCTATTTATACTGTACAACTTCATTATTTGAAGCCAAAGCTGTTTGGCTACATTTTATTCACTTCAAGCAACTTATAAGTATGCTTCGAATAAAATTGGAATGCGATATAGTTTTAGAAAAAAGGGAAATTTTATTTCATGTGATTTCAAATCAGTAATCAGCATTAGTCAATATTAGCTGAGGGAGATGTTAGGTAAACTGAGTAAAAAGCTATTCACTTAAATCTCCCTCCGGAAAAAGATAAAATAACGGTGATAGAAAGTAAAAAAAATTCAGTGGTAAATAAAGATACTCACTGAAGATTGTATTAGTGTTATCATATTTGATGAGAAATCTAGAATAATTTGTTTTAACATTGAATACCTCAACAATACATTACTATTTCTTGATAAACTATTGTTTTCATATTTGCACATAACCATATGGTCTATGAGAAGCTTTAGGTTACAATCGTATGAACCTTCTTTGTAAACAACGGAAATTAGATTAGTGTACAAACTACATTTGAACACAAGATCAAAGTGCTTAAAAGATGAATCCATAAAAATGTATTAAAATTTATTTAGAAATAAAGAAATGAAATGTCATATATTCAACTCATTAAATGATCAAATACACTGCTATACCGTCTGTTTTAGCTATGTCCCCGTGAATGTTACTTGAGCCTGCAGTCTGATTTGATTGAGAAATTATGTATGGATTAACTTTAATTGTACTTGGAGGATTAACCAAAACTGAAGAAGCTCGTGGACAATCAGCTGTTAAATTAGTAAGTAGACCAAGTATTGTACGTAGGATTCGTAAATCTTGCAAAGCCAAAGGCCAAATACATATAATCACCTGTAAGACAGATAATAACAAATGCGTTCGTGCACTGGATTCTATATGAACCATTTGTGAACGACATGGTGAATCAACACCATTTGTAGACTAATTCAATACAAAGTAAAACTGGAAAGGTATACTAACATTTGAATGTGCACAAAACCTGAACAAGGAAGATGTGAAAGTTGAAAAGCCGGGAAAACTCTAGTTACATCGATTCGATATTTAAAGACTGGAGAGATTTTACAAACCACCATCTAACTCGACGTCCAATGTTAAGTGGTGTAAGAGGAAGTTGAGAAAAGCAAAAGGCGGCCAAGATAAGACGTTTCATCAGATGACAAAGATACCGAATGTTGGGCTGAGCTACATTGGTCGATTTAGACTTCCTGATTAGGGTCTGTATGATAAACGCGACCATTGTTTGACGATGTTTGGTGATATGGCTCAAAATCAGTCACAATGGAGAAGATTCATCCAGTCTTTATCTTAATCTAGATCCTGAGCTCCAATATTTCTTTATAAATACTCTTTAATTCTATCTTTTGCGAACTATATTTTCAGTGCCCAGTTCTTCTTCTTATCGTTGCTAATATATTATTCCGACTCCTTTATTATTTACCTTGTTAATTTCATTTCGTTTTGCTGTGGTATAGTTACTTGAGCAAGCGCATATATATGCAAGTTTCTACGTTAATTTTGACTGGGTGAATGACTAAGATTTTACTAAACACAATGAATCTAGTTGATGGAAAATATTTTTTAAAAAGCCTCAAAGAATCAAACAATATTCAAAATAATAAACGACAAATTATATAGCCAATCAAAACTACTAACATTCAAACTGTCAATGTAGAGATACAAATAGTCATTCTTATGGCTGCCAATATCACTGTTAAAAAATAATTCCATGAATTTAACGGATGTTTCCTCATAATAAGTAAATTAATAAAGTTATTTCAATTCGATCGCAACCATTATTCAAAATTATATGTTGCTGATGATTTAACATCAGACATGTACAGCAAAAACCTCATGAGATATGTTGAAGCGATCTAATTGTGTAAATATTTAAATAAATGTTACTGGTTAAGATCCGTTTTAACTGACTAATTATATTCATCGCATGTATTCATGAGCCTTTATAAAAAAAAGTCGTCAAAAGTAATGCAAAGTTAATTACCGAAACGTCTAGATAACTGAATGTGAAGTTGGTGAAACACAAATAATGCCTGTACCATGTTCCCATCAGAAATATGATATAAGACAAACTTGAAGAGA